AAAATATCTGTAACAAAAAAATAAATAAAAATTCTTAAAAAAAAAATAGCCTTTAAAACTATCCTTAACATTCTGTATTATGCTAAAACAGTCTGGAAATGTGATCTGGGAACTCTTCTATATCAAGCTCATAACAGGTGTGATCTACCTTTTTATGACTACTCCAACTGCTAGGTGGTGAATATTTTGGAGGACAGGAATAGAGTAGTGGTAATAATAAGACTAGTTAAGAACCTATTGTAGAAGTCCAAGTGAGAAATGATGGTGTCTTGGGACAGGATGTTGAGAGTGGACACAAATAGTAGTTGTAGTAAGTTGAATAGTGCCAATCCCTACCCCCTCACCACCCCACACACACAAAATTCATGTCTATCCAAAACCTTAGAATGTGACCTTATTTGGAAATAGGGTTTTTGAAGATGTAATTAGTTAAGATAAAGTCATACTGGCCCTGGCCAGTTTGGCTCAGCAGTTAGAGCATCAGCCTGCGGTCCAGAAAGACCCGGGTTCGGTTCCCCCTAAGGGCACGTATCTCGGTTGCAGTTTGTCCCTGGCCCTGGTTGGTTGTGCAGGTGGCAGCCACTCGATGTGTCCCTTTCACGTCAATGTTTCTCTCTCTCTCTCTCTCTCTCTCTCTCTCTCTTCCTCTCCCTCCCTCCCACTCTATCTGAACAAAAAATGGAAAAATATCCTCGGGTGAGGATAAATAAATAAATAAATAAAAATTAAGTCATACTGGATTAGAGTGGTGCTTTACAAGAGGAGGAGAGGGCACAGACACAGAAAGGAAGGCCATGTGAAACGGGAAGCAGAGATTGGAATGATACAGTTACAAGCCAAGGAACACCAAGGATTGCCAGGAGCTAAGAAGAGGCGAGGAAGCATTCTTCTCTAGAGCTTTCAGAGGGGCCTGTTGGCACCTTGCTTTTAGACTTCTAGTTGCCTGAACTGTGAGAGCATAAATTCCTGTTGTTGTGAGCCACTCAGTTTGTAGGAAACTAATGCAATAGTAGACTAATTCAAGATATACTTTGGAGGTAGAACCAACAGAGCTGTAACTATGAAAATACTTCTGAAATATCAAATAAAGGAAAAAATGCCAGATTTTCACTGGAAATAATGAATTCAACTTCAACTGAGTTAAATATAACAGACTGAACTCAGAATCTCTACTCCCTCTCAAGTGGACTGAAAGGGTGAATACAGCTTCGAAACTGGAGCAGAGAAAGCTGAAAATAAAGTGCCTACAGATTCAGGGATGTTTAGAGCACTGGAAATCAACAAGAACCTCAGAAAGACTCAGGATCTAGGACACTTTAAAGAGAGAGGTAGGGCCCTGGATGGTTTGGCTCAGCAGTTAGAGCATCAACCTGCAGACCAAAGGGTTGTGGGTTTGATTCCAGGCAAAGGCACATACCTGGGTTGCTGGTTTGATCCCTGGACCCATTTGGGTCCATGCAGGAGGCAACCAATCGATGTGTCTCTCACATTCTCACATCAATGTTTTCTTTCTTTCTCTCTCTCTTCCTTCCACTCTCTCTTAAAAAAAAAGTTCAATGGAAAAGTATCCTCAGGTGAGGATTAACCAAAAGAAAAAGAAAAAGATGGAGATAGGTATAGAGGTGAGTTGAAAATTAGAGGATTGGTTAAAAGTCTTTAAAAGGAATTACTAAACCATAAGATCCTCCTCCTCACCCTTTGTAGCCAGGCAACTCTACCTACCAACAGTAAGACTGGAAGCTTATTTTCTAAAGAGGTTGAACTATAGGGACAGGTGTAGCCTAATGAGACTGCAGATATTATATGAAAATCTGGTTACTGTAAGGTGGGGACAGCCCTCTGGGCTGCTTTTCCATGTATCCTCTGGACATTATCAGCCAGTCTTATACTACCTCCCTATTCCCCTGGCAGAAAATTAGAGGATTCTGATGCAATTAGAGAAAATGACCTATCAAGGAGAAAAGATTTGGCTGGGGCTCCCAATCTAGGGATTCCTGAGAATCCCTTGATTCTTACAGTGAATCCTATCATTCAATAAGCCCTATTCTACACTCAGAGATTCTAATAATCTCTCTAATGCCTCACTTGTAAATTTGAACAGACAGCCAAGGATCTCCACATACCTGAGGAAATCCTCTAATGTGTGAATCAAAGACTAAAACAAAAGAAATCATGATAAAACAGAGAATGCAGAGAGAAGAAAATTTATTTAAAAGAAAACTTGAATGTCCTTAGAGTAATGACAGAAATGTTGGACCTGTAACACAAGAACAGAACACTATATTAAACAAAATCTGAGACCATTAAAGAGCTGTTGGAAAATAGTAGAATTTTTAAAATCCAATTTAAAAAATCTATGTTTTCTGTACCGCCAATAGCTCTGTAAAATGCCTCTGTCCAACTTGCAAAACAGTCAAGCCTATCAGAAAAACTATTAGATATATCTTTCCTTTCTTTGTCTTTGTTTGTTTGTTTGTTTGTTTTGTTTTATTTTGTTTTTGTTAATCCTCACCCAAGGATATTTTCCCATTAATATTTAGGTAGAGTGGAAGAGAGAGAGAAAGAGAGAAACATTGATGTGAGAGAGACACACACAGCCCTGGCCTAAAGTTGAGTTAAAAAAGCTCTTCAACCCTGGCTGGTTTGGCTCAGCAGTTAGAGTGTCGGCCTGTGGTTCTGAGAGACCTGGGTTCGGTTCCCACTAAGGGCATGTACCTCGGTTGCGGTTTGTCCCCAGCTCTGGTTGGGTCGTGTGGGTGGCAGCCACTCAATGCGTCCCTTTCACGTGGATCTTTCTCTCTTTCTCTCTCTCTCTCTCTCTCTCTCTCTCTCTCTCTCTCTCTTTCCCACTCTATCTGAATAAAAAATGGAAAAATGTCCTAGGGCAAGGATAAAAAAAAGAAAAGCTCTTCAGAGAATCTAGTCCCACCCCCAACTCTTGTCAAACTTGTCTTGTGCCTTATGCTGCAGGCACACTACACTCTGCAGTTTCCTTACTCTGCTTATCACATAGTTCTGCCTTTTTAACTTCCATCCTTTCATACCTTTCCTGATCACTGCTTCTGAAACTTGGAATAGCTTTTCTATCTTGTCTTCACTCCAGGCATGTACTGGCCTCCATAGTCATTCCCAACATGCTCTCTCCTTAGGGCCTTTACATTCGCAGTCCCCTCTGTCCTGGAACACTCAGCCACCAGACTGCTACATGTTCCCTCACCTCCCACAGGCCTCTGTCCACCTCGTCTTATCACAATACAATGTTCACCCAGTTTCATTTTCTATTCTGTTTTTCTGTTTATTTTTTTTTTCATACTACTCGTCACCGTGTTGTTGTTTCTTTATTGTATTTCTCTCTTCTTGTTCGAATATAATTTTATGAGAGCAGACTTTATTCAAGAATTAAGTAAATATCTAACTGTGTCCATCTTGCCCTAAAGGAATTAATGAAGAAATCATAATAAACCTAAATTTTGCATTTTAGGGATTTATAATCTAAGATATACTGGGCAAATTATATATATTTACAAACACACATATTAACCTATGAAATGAATGAACATTAAAGTCCTTTCATCACATGAAGCAAATCCAAAAAAATAGAAAAAATTCTGAATATCTCCCAGTGAATAACATCTTCAAAGTAGAAATTATGCAAAACAACCTATTTATTACTCTGATTATTATAGTGATCCATTTTCCTAAAAGGGTTCTTAAGTAAGCACTGGACATTTAAGTTATATGGAAGCCAGAATATTGTCTTAAAGTTGCTTAGTGCCCATGAATTGGAACCTGAGGAGGTAAGTACTGTTTAAATGCCATTATAAATAGAACGGAGCTATCTCCTCTCTAGGGAAATCCTGCAACTGAGATAGGCCAGGGCAGCCTCTCCCTAGACAATGCCGGACTAGCCTGGGTTTTGCCAGCTTCTGCTTCTGACTTTCCCTTATCTTGCCCTTGGTTCCTGTAGCCCTGCTCTTCTGAACATAAGCCTTGTCTCACATGCATATCTACTGCTGTTCTTCAAGTGTATGAAGATGCCATTGTCAAATTCATGTAGCATACATTCATGCACATATTCATCACTGTATAGTTGCTCTTTATCATGTAACTTTGGGGACAAACATTCTAACTAAAAGGGGTAGGGTTTATGATTAATTGATTTTCTTTCTTCTTTTTTTGGTACGTGCCCCTATGGGGAACCGAACCCGGGTCTCTGTGGTTTGCAGGCCAACGCCCCAACCGCTGAGCCAAACCAGCCAGGGCTAATTTTTTAATGTTAAAAGAGCTTGACTGCATTCTCAGAAAAATGAGGATCACTGCCCTGAGCTGACAATCCACTTCTGTTGTGATATTCCACCAAACAGTTTAAAATACTGTTGTTAGATGTCTGCTCATCACATTTCAGGTCCCACATTACCCTAACTGACGTTGGAGTGTTTCCACACTTTAGTAGTTTCCTGATTTAGGACCACAGATGGTTAATTACATCCACTATGGAACTGACAAACTTGGTTACTAAAGGTAATCTTAACTCCTTTCAAAGCTTTTGGGAATCTCTAAAGCAAAGGAAATAAGGAAGGGGACGAGATTAATTAGGTTTCTAGAAGAAAGAGTAGGTTTAAAAAAAAAACAAAACTATTTTTTTCCTTTAATGATTTTAGAGAAAGAAGTGAGGAGAGAGAAACATCCTTGAGAGAGAACATGGACTGGCCGCCTCCTGCATGCCCCCACTGGGGATCCGGCCCACAACCTGGGCATGTGCCCTGACCGGGAATCCAGCGGGCGACCTCTTAGTGCGTGGGTCCACGCTCAACCACTAGCCACACCAGCCGAACAGAAGGAGTATGTTTTTAGATGGGATTTAAAAGATGGCAGAATTTCATAAGAGAAAGCGCCTTAGGGGCTTTTGAAATGACCAAAGCACATATGGAGGAACTGATAATTCCATTACGCAGCCCACAGGATTTAAGGGGCTGTTGGAATGTGAGAGGAGGCATGCTGAATCCATGCTGTGAGGATTTTAAACGCCGGAGCGCTGCAGCATCGGGGAGCCGCCGAAGGCTCTCAGCAGGTGAGTGGCAGGACCCGACTGGCCCCCGGAATGGTCCACGCCGTAATTTTTCCGGCGCTCCCTTCCGCTCTCTGCCCAGCCCTCAGGCAGGCTTCGCGGCTGGTGTAGTTGGGGCTCGGACCACGCGAATCGCAGGGTCGCGCAGGGCGAGCTCGGGATGCTGCGGGGCCCGACGGAAGCAGGCAAGCCCTCGCCCGGCGCTGCACCTGGGCCCGGCCCGGCCGCCGATTGGACGGCTCCGGGGTGACCCCGCTGTATCGCGAGACGAGATTGGCAGCGGCGGGGCCGCATGTGCCCCCGCGCTGGCTTTGTACGCGGAGCCGCCTGACGGTCCTTTAACAATGGGCGGTGCGAGCGCCCGAGCGCTGGGTCCGAGCTGAGGCCGGCGCTTCGCGGCCGACTGTCTGCAGCATGAGCGGGGCCGGCGTCCCCCGCGTGCCGGCGGGGCTGGGGCTGTGAGGGCCTCGGTTCCGGGTAAGAGAGGCCGCCGCGGGACCGGCAGGCCCGGGCTGGGCGCCGGACACCAGACCCGCCCGGCCCGGCCTTTTGTTCGCCTTTCTGGGGCCGCGCGACACCGTGCGCTCCTCAGGACGCGGAGGAGGCGGCCTGGCGCGGGCCGGGCCGCGGGGGGCTCCCGGGGGGCAGCAGGCGCCCGGCCGTCGGCCGCGGAGAGTCGGCGCCGCGCGGGCATTCGGCTCCGGGTTTCTCCGCGGGAGGTGTTCACCTCCGGGGCTGTGACTGGTGTCAGCTCTCCGCTCCGGGCGGGCGGGAGAATTCGAACCCCGGACGCGGGGAGCCCGGAGCAGGTCCCCCTCCCGCTTCCCCGAGGCCGCGCCCCGGTCTGCGCGCTGGGAACTCGGGGCCCGGTTCGTCCCCTTTTCCCGGCACCCAGCCCGGCAGTTCTCAGAAGAATCCGGTGCCTCCTGACCGGGTAGCTCGGGCCCTCCGTGGGGCCGCGAGGAGTTGGTTTGATCCTGGTCGGGAGTCAGGTGGAGGGGACAGTCACTTAGGGCGGCCTGGGTCACACCCCTCCGGGAGGGGCGCGGAGGGTCGGAGGGAGCTGGCAGTGACCGAGCCTGGGTGTGTCTTGCAGACTGAAGTTGCCGCGTCTGGCCAGGCGCGCCGCCCGGGCCCATGGAGCTGGAGGGGCAGTGGTGGCGGGGACAGCTGGCTGCCGACATTCACCAAGCCCTTCGGTACAAGGTAACCTCGGCGCCAGACCTTTCCACTCGCTTCTTGGTGTCCTCCGTCAGTTAGTACGTGCCGGCCTCCTGGACGGTCCGGTTCTGGGGCCACTCGTTTCCAGACCAGAAAGGGCTGGTTTGCTTACTTGCTCGAGGTTAATTAATCTTGGCTTCCCGGGGAAGTCTGAAGAACCTGCCGCTTAAACGAGGGGGTGGAGTGGGGCGTGGCCGTTGGGGGAGAGAAGGCGTGAAGACTTTCTGAGGTTCCCAGGTGGAACTGGGATTTCATATTATACGTAAGCCAGCGGACATCATCTTATTGGGCAGAGCAGCCCTCCTCCTTCTCTAGTTGTAGTTGTTTGTACATAAATTCCCCAGCCGCCCTGGCTGGTTTGGCCCAGCGGTTAGAGCGTCGGCCCGCAGACCAGAGAGTTCCGGGTTCGATTCCAGCCAAGGGCACGCACCTCGGTGGCGGTTTGTCCGGGACCCCGCGTGGGTGGCAACCAGTCGCTGTGGCTCTCTTACGTGGATGGTTCTCTCTCTCCCTCCCTTCCTCCTTTCCTCCCTCCTGCTCTATCGGAAGATAAATGGAAAAGTATCCTCCGGTGAGAATTAAAAAAATAAATAAATGCCCCAGCCTTTCCACTAACTTGCTGTGAAACTTTGGACAAAAGTTACTTAATTTTCCGTTTCCAATCTTTTCATCTGTAAAATGAATAATACTAGAGTGTGCCTTTGGGATGATTGTGAAGATTAAATGAGTTGATACTGTACATACGCTTAGAACAGTGATTGGCGTATAGTAAGCACTAAGAAAGTCGTAATTGTTGTTATTCTCTACCCCCACTACCACCCCGCAGACCTCAAGATTTGAGGCTGTTCAAAAAGCCTTAAGGTAGAAGGATTTAGCTGCTGTTTCCAGTTAATATCAAGGGCAGAAAGTAAACCTAGTATATTTAATAGATACTGGGGGGAAAGAGGACACTTTTTTTTTTTTTTTCTTTATTGATATTAGAGAGAGAGAGGATGAGAAGAGGACATTAACTGGCTGCCTCCTGCATGCCCCCCACTGGGGATTTGGCCCACGATCTGGGCATGTGCCCTGACCAGGAATTGAACCAGCGACCTCCTGGTTCATGGGTTGATGCTCAACCACTGAGCCACACTGGCGGAGTGAAAGAGGACACTTTTATCTCTAACTTGACTCAGTTTCACCATGGATAGAGAGAGCCATTAATTAGGTATAGAAAATTAGAAAGAAGCAAAACCGCTGACTCTTTAATAAAAAAGGATGCTGACTATTAGATTGAGAGATCCAGGGATGATAATGAATTTATGTCTTGATTTTTTGATCAGGTTAAGTAGAATTAGAAAATCTAATTTTGACTTAAATTGTTACACTTATAACCTAAATGCTACTTATTAATTCTGACATTCAGTGCCTTAGACACACTCAATGTATCTCAGTCCCCTAAGAGGGCATTTATATCACAGAGAAGTCTCAACTATGGAATGGTTCTCTGGAATGTTAAGAGAGTAGCAGGTTTCCCACTTTGAAAATTATCCAGACACTTTTCATTTTTTATTTTTGCAGATGTTGTCTTTCAGTTTTAAGTGTTCTTTTCTAAATGTTAGCTCTTTATGTCTCTGGTATGTGGTGAAATTAATTACATTTTTTTTTAATAACGTGAAACTTAAAAGATTTTTCTTGGTGATTTACATTTTCCCCCATGATTTTTTCGTATATTTTATGTGTAATTTTAATTCTGAGTGATTACTTAAATTAATTTTACCAGTTGAGATTGGAAGTGGATTTTTTTCCCCCAGTAGATGTGTTGAATGCTTTTGTGTGTTAGGCTATGGGGAGGATCTAAGGAATAAGACATAACTCTGCACTAAAGTTGCTTATGAACTATCAAAGGACAAGATAGTGCAGGAATGCCATTGAAAGTTATCTTGAGCCACTTGTGTCATGCTACCCTGGGTTAGCTTTATTTTTATCGTTAAGCATTTTGTAAGCCACATGTTGTGATTTCACATAGTGGCCACACTTTGTGAAGAATTTATGTTAATCAGTAAAATTGGAACATGTGGAACTGAAGAGACCACTATTTGTAATACACTAAAGTCAAGGAAAATTAATATGAATTTTTCTTTAAAAAAAACACACGTTAATTCCAGGTTGTTAAATAAATGATTTAGCCAGATGCTTATTTACAATATTTGAGTGCCTACAATGGGTGCTCTGTCAGGTGTTATGGTAACAGTAAATGAAATAAACATGATCCCTGCCTTTATGGAATCTCATATAATTCAAAGTATCTGAATTTAAGTCTTCCCTTGGGCAGTTGCCATTTGGACACTATGGAAGGTGTTCTGTGTTTACACCCAAGGTTTATGGAGGAATAATTGATGTGACTAGCATTATTATCTACAAGGGAAGAGTAAAATTTACAACAAATGGAAATTTTTGATCACAAATACCAACTTTACTGTTTTTGTAAAATATAATTACTTTCCCCCATAAACTCTCCCCCCCCCCCCCCAAAAAAAACCCCTGCAAATTGGCTGTTCTTTTATACCCTGTGTCATCATCTTTTTCTTCTCATTGTTTGGCTTTGCATACTAATGTCTTAGGATGCTTGAAGGAGTATTTTTAGGATTCTTTATGACGGAAGCAATGCTAGCTTTGTAAGAAACATTAAGTATCTCACAGACTTGTACTTACACTTGTGAGTATCCCTTCTATGCCTTTATTTCCATCCTGGCTGGATAGTTAACCCACTCTGGGAAGGGGGTGATACCTGGGATGGTGAGCTGACAAGGACTAGAGATAAGATGGAGGTGACAGGAGAAGCAGATGAAGGAAACATGAATGTTCAATTCTAGGGGATCAGGAACAGACAGAAAAAACTTGTAAGCTGAGAGAAGCATAGGTTATTTTCTCGTGCTTGTATAATTGCAGTAGCTGGAAAAAGAGAACTAAATCTGACAGCCTTCTGGTAAGCACTTGTACTTTAATATTTAAAATAATGAAAAGAGAAAGTATTAGACACATTGTTTAAAATTTCCAATTAATGGCCCTTGGGGTTCTTGCCTTTGTTTTGTCTTCATTTGATAAAGTCAGCAAAGAGATAAAGTCCACCAGTGTTGTCCAGCTGTTTCCCAGTGAGTCTTTAAAACTTTGTTCAGTACTCTTTTGCAGAAAGCCTACTCTGGCTTTGTTTTTTCCCAATAACCATTCCCTGAACTGGATTAGATCTCTCACCTCAGTGTTCCTATAATACCCTGTGATTACTATATCATGTTCTAATAATCTCTGTATTTTGGTTCACCTGCTAGAGAGAGGCTTGAGACTGTTTTTCAGCTCCTATTCATGGGGTTAGCACAGTGTCTGCTACATGGATAATGCTCAGTAAGTGTCATGTGACAGCAAAGAAAGGTGAAGTTAAAAATCTACAGAAATGGTAAAGGAGAAAAGAAAAACCCTAGGGGCTACATAAGAAATTAGCATGTTCCTTCTATTTGGAAAAATTAATTCTTTTATTTTTATCTTCAAAGAACCAGACCAGCCTAAGCCAATTTTTTTTCTTTCCCCAGTAGCATTTGTTTGTGCTTTTCTTACTTAATACGAAAATTAAAAACATAAAATGGTCCATTAGTCTGTTTCATCTAAATTGTTGAATTTATGAGTATAGAGTTCCTTGTAGTATTCCCTTATTTTTTTTTTAATGTCTTCAGAATCCGTAGTAATATTTCATTCTTTTTTAATTTAATTTTTATTTATTTTTAATTGCGGTGACGTTGGTTGATGGAATTCCTATACAAGTCTATGGTTAAAAAATTTAAATAAATGAATAAAATAAAGGAAAATGGCCCATTAACCTGTGTACCAAGTAACTACTTTTATTATTAAATATTTTTTTAAATAATACATGCATATGGTTTTTAAATTCTTTTGATAGAATAAGAAGGGTTAAAATAAGCTTTCCCAACCTTCACTATTTCCTGATCCTCTAAGGTTACAACCATTATTGGTTTTTTCTTGAAAAGATAATAAATTAGTATATCTACAAATAAATTATTTTTGTTGTTGATAGAAGAGGTCAAATATATAGTCACTGTTTTATACCTACCTCCCACCTAACCTCACTCAATTTATCAAAAGTTTCCATATCAACACATACAGATCTACTGCCCTTTAGTTTAATGTCATCACTGAATCAATGTCCCGTAGTTTATTTAATCAGTTTCCTGTTGATGGATGACAAGCTTTTTTGTAATTGCACTTTTTATTTTGAGATAATTGTAGATTACCTGCAGTTGTAAGAAATAGTACAGGGAGATCCTCTATACCCTTTACCCAGTTTCTCCAGTGGTAATGTCTTGTAAAACTATAGAACAATTATCACAACCAGGATATTGACATTGATATAGTGAAGATACAGAATGTTTTCTATCAGCATGATGATTTCTTTCTTGTGTTATCCTTTTATAGCCACACCATTTTCCTGCCACCCTCATTCCCCCCTCCCCTTAACCACTAATTAGTGGTAACCACTAATCTCTTCTTCATTTCTATAATTTTGTCATGTCAAGAATGTTAGTTATGTAAATGGAATTATACAGTATGTAACCTTTTAGAATTGGCTCTATATACTCAGCATAATTCTCTGGAGATCCATCCAGGTTGTTGGACATAAAGCTTTTTATTCCACCATCTTGCTATTAAAAATGGTGCTGCAAAGGACCTTATATGTAGGGTAAATTCTTGAGTCTAATGTTGCTAGGTATCTGCAATTTGCATTTTTAAAAATTTATATTACCTACTTGTCACCCAAAATGTTATAGTATCAACCTGAACAATAATATCTGGGAGTTTCTGTTTTCACTATTGATATCATAAACAAAAATTAATAAAATGTAATGTGGTAAGTGAAAAACTATAATTTTAAAATTTTGAATGAGATTGAGGCATCTTTTTATGTTTTTGGCCTTATTTTTTGCTATGAACTGTGTGTTCATATTTGTTGCCTTTTTCTTACTGATTTATAAGAGTTCTCTAAATAATAAAGAAATTAGCTCTTTATCCTATGTGTCAAATATTTATTAAATTCATCTGTTCTTGCCTGATTTGAAATGCCGTTGTTATCAAATAGGTTCTTCTATCCAAGAAAAATGAATCTCTTTCCATGTATACAAGTCTTCCATACTCCTTAGGAATTTTAATGTTATGGTCATATAGTGTTAGCATATATAGATTTATTTCTAGGTGTTTTTATCTTTATAGTTACCACATGTGGAATCTTCTATTTTCTAACCAGCTCTTAGTATACAGAAAGCTATTGGTTGTTTTATATTAATTTTGTAAACAACCATTGTACGGAATTCTTACTGTTTCTATCATCTAAAAAATAATAACTTTGTTTCTGAGAGTAACTTTGATTCTTCCTTTCCAGTAGTTAAACCTTTTCTTTCCTTTTTCTGTTTGGATTGAGTAGTATTCACAGAATAATGTTTAATAATATTGCAGTAGCTGGCACTAGAATGCTAATCCTTTTATTATTTCACATCCAAGTGAGATGCTGGCTTTTAGATATGTGATCTTTTTATCTCCCTAATCAAAGAAATATGTATCTGTTATTTCTCCCAAGGTCACTTTTGTTCAGATGCTGTTTTAACATCAGTCGAGGTGATTGTTCATATTTATACGTGAATTATTATTGTGATTTATATTAATATAGTTTCTAATATCAAACCATCCTTGCATTCCTGGGATGTACTACAATTGATGATACATTCTTTGGATACATAAATTACATTTAGTAGTGTATTCACTACTAATTTTTTTTTCCTTCTATTTTTTAGTTAAATTTATTGGGGTGACATTTGTTAATAAGATTATATAGATTTCAAGTATGCTATTCTGTGATACATCATATGTATATTACATTGTGTGTCCACCACCCAAAGTCAAATCTTCTTTCATCACCATATATTAGACAAAAATATGGAACACTTCACAAATTTACGTGTCATCTTTGTGTAGGGGCCGTGCTAATCTCTGTATCATTCCAATTTTAGTATATGTGCTGCTGAAGCAAGCACATATTGGATAATAGTTTATCAAAAATTGTATATCTTATTAAGTTAGATTGATGTGTAAATTCCATTTTTGTGTGTTTTGTTTTTTAAATTTTTGTTTATTGATTTTAGAAAGAGGAAGGAAGAGAGAAAGAAATATCGACTTGTTTTTCCACCCATTTATGCACTCATTGGTTGCTTCCTGTATGTGCCCTGACTGGGAGATCAAACCCATAACCTTAATGCATCCTGCTGATGCTCTAACTAACTGAGCTTCCTGGCTAGGGCCCACATTTTGTTCATGCATGCATGCATTCATTCATTCATTCATTCATTCTTGGGTACTTGGGTTGTTTGTTTCTACCTTTTGGCTGTTGTGAATAATGCTGCTATGAACATGGATGTACAATTATCTCTTTGAGTCCCTGCTTTTAATTCTTTGTGATATATACCTAGAAGTGGAATTGCTGGATCATATGATAATTCTACTTTTAATTTGGTGGGGTTGTAATACTGTTATTTGCAGTGGGTACACAGTTTTATATTTCCACTTAGTACTCTAGGGTTCCAATATTTTCACATCCTTGCCAACATTTATTTTATGTTTTTTTTGTTTTTTTGTTTTGATAATAACAATTCTAATGGGTGTGAAGTAGTACTCATAATGGTTTTTATATGCACGTTCCTAATGTTTTGTGACATTGAGCATCTTCATATGTGCCTATTGGCCATTTGTATATCTTCTTTGAAGAAATGTTAATTTAAGTCCTTTGCCCACTTTTTAATTGAGTTGCTTGTGTTTTGTTGTTGAGTTGAGTTGTATATATGAAAGAGTTCTTTGCCCTAGCCAGTTTGGCTCAGTGTCTAAAGTTAGAGCATTCGCCTGAGGACCAAAGAGTTGCTGGTTTGATTCTGTTCAAGGGCATGTACCTTGGTTGTGATTCAGTCCCTGACCCTGGTTAGGGTCGTGAGGGTGGCAACCAATCAATGTGTCTCTCTCACATTGATGTCCCCCTCCTTCCCCCCTCCCCCTTCCTCCCACTTTATCTGAAGATAAATGGAAAAATATCCTTGGGTGAGGATTTTTTTAAAAATTGCTTGAATAGTCCTGGCCGGTTTTGCTCAGTGGTTAGAGTGTCAGCCTGCGGTCCAGAGAGACCCAGGTTCGGTTCCTGCTAAGGGCACGTACCTCGGTTGCAGTTTTTCCTCGGCCCTGGTTGGGTTGTGTGGGTGGCAACCACTTGATGTGTCCCTTTCACGTCGATGTTTCTCTCCCTCCCTCCCACTCTATCTGAACAAAATATTGAAAAATGTCCTTGGGCGAGGATAAAAAAAAATATTGCTCAATACATCTATTTCATAATCCAAGAAGCACCTATAATTGGCCATGTCAGAGGTAATTAAGGACAAGGAGAAAAATTTAGTTTAAATTTTAAATATCATTCATTATTCTTCCACTCAACTTTTTCATGTTTTTGTTTCACTCAAGAAAAGTGTGCTTTAAACACTTGTAACACCTAATATATTGGGGGGAAAGTCATCTTTGAATTGTGGGCATACTTCGATAGGCTATGTTAACTAAATGTTGTTCCTCTTGATTTAGGAGCTGAAGTTGCCCTCTTACAAAGGCCAGTCCCCTCAACTAAGTCTCAGAAGGTATTTTGCTGATTTGATTGCTATTGTGAGTAATCGATTCACGCTCTGCCCTTCTGCCCGACATCTTGCTGTCTATTTGCTGGACCTGTTTATGGATCGGTATGACATCTCTATCCAGCAGCTGCATTTAGTTGCACTTTCCTGTCTGCTTCTAGCAAGTAAGTATGAATCTGAACTATATGATTAGAAATTTCTATTATTTATAATGAAAAAGATTTATGTAGAACTCAGTAAAATATTACCAAATTCCATTCATTTCAGTTTACGAGTAAGAGACAGTTTGTGTTGAAAGTTCTCCTTGGGCCCTGGCCGGTTTGGCTCAGCGGTTAGAGCATCGACCTGCGGTTCAGAGAGACCCGGGTTCGGTTCCCCCTAAGGGCATGTATCTCAGTTGCAGTTTGTCCCTGGCCCTGGTTGGGTTGTGTGGGTGGCAACCACTGGATGTGTCCCTTTCACGTCGATGTTTCTCTCTCTCTTCCTCTCTCTCCTTCCCACTCTATCTGAACAGAAAATGGAAAAATGTCCTCAGATGAGGATAAAAAAAAGAAAGTTTTCCTTGGCACAATGATTCTTTTTTTTTTTTTTTTTTAACCTCACCCGAGGACATTTTTCCATTTTTTATACAGACAGAGTGGGAGGGAGGGAGAGGAAGAGAGAGAGAGGGAAACATCGATGTGAAAGGGACACATCGAGTGGCTGCCACCCGCACGACCAACCAGGGCCGGGGACAAACTGCAACCAAGGTACATGCCCTTAGCGGGAACCGAACCCGGGTCTCTCCGGACCGCAGGCCGATACTCTAACCACTGAGCCAAACCGGCCAGGGCGGCACAATGATTCTTAACCAGACATTAAAATGTGGGTCTGGAGTCTTTTAAAAACATGTGCCTAAACCATACGTCATGTAGATTCTGAAACAAATGTCTAAGCCACTCCAGAGCTACTGACTCAAAATCTACATCATGGGGTCTGAGTATTTTTTAAATGTTTTTAAAGTTCCAAAGGTGATTCTGATGTGCCTATCCAACTGAGAACCATTGCCTTAAAGCAGTGGTTTTCATCCAGGAGCAGTTGTGCCCCACAGGGGATTGGAGGTGGTTTTGGTTGTCATCACAACCTGGAAGGATACTTCTGACATCCAGTGAGTAGAGGTGGGACAGTGCCCCAAAACAAAGAATCATCTGGCTCAAAATGTCAATGGAGCTGAGATTGAGAATTTTTTTCTAAAAGGTACCATACCCTTGTATTGTTAGAATATCTTCTTCTGACTATATAACGAGTAGCTTAAAGAACTGAAAGTTCACATGCAGCTGCTACACATGTGAAAACCTTTGCTATGGCATAGGCACAACTGTGTATAGGCTGCAAGGTAGAATCTGCTATAACCATGCTTGTTACCCAATGCAGAGTGTACTGTTGGGCCTTTTGGTACCTCTTTCTCTTAACGTCTTCCTGTAACTCATTTCGTTGTTTGTTAGTACCCCAACTGAAGAGAAAGAGGGTGAGTAAAGGAGTTGAAATCGAGTTTTTCTTCTTTTAGTAATGTGAAAAAGATTGTGTTTGATATTGAAGTTGAATCCATTATGTACTTTATATATTATTCATGTCATCACAATAGAAATTGTGATACTACTTCAAAGTAGTATTTAGAAATATCTGCTGCCTTCACTTCTAACCCCCACTTGAGGGTTGGGATCCATTGTGGCTATTCTCTAAAGAACATTCCCCATATACCCTGCTACCACAGTTCTTTCTAAAACATCTTTGTACTTTTACTGCAAATAAACTTAAAACCAAATGCAGGCCTCTGTGGTATCATTTCTGGTACTAATTTTTTTCTTAGGCTTTCTTTTCCTACCCTTATTCTTCCTTTGATCTGATGACCTCAACTACTTACTTTTTCTCCTTGAAGATCTTTTTATAAGTTATTTCAAATCTTTTGTGGATCAGGCTAAATATAAATAAACACAGCGCTAATGAATTCCCACTGCCTGTTGATTAAGGTAGAAATTCCTTAATGTAATATTTTGAACCTTTCATCTGGACCCAGCCATCTTTCCAGTCTCGTCTTCCAAACCTATCCCCATGTACTTTGAGCCAAATTCTACCAGAATACTGTTTCCTGAAAAATCTGCATTTCTCCTTTAATCTATTGCCCTCTAAGTTCCAGATACATTATCTGCTACTCCTTACCCAGAAAGCCAGTGAAGTAATGCTTGTATATTTATAATTAACCTTTAATTTAACCTTTAAGGTTTCATCTTCATAAGCAGCCATGTCTACAATTCTGTATGTGTTTCATCACTGGTTGTGAAACCCTTTGTGGTTTAATAGTTTGCATAAGATTGGAAAAACCCATACTTGGCACATCAGATGTGTGAGAATCCACAAATGGAATGGTTTCTTGTTATGTTAAGGATGTTAGTTTATTAGGGGCTCAGTTTATAGTATAGAAACACTGGGACTCAGATATGCTAGTTAGGTTATTTTTTAAATTTGGGATTATTAATGAAAAATAATTTTTTTGCCTGCTGTGGCCGTCACTACTATCCTTTCATTCTACCAAGCCCTGCCTTCTCTATGCCTGCAGTTCTTAAAATGGACTGAAATTATGAATGATGCACAGTCAGTTCATAGACCAACCTACATTTATGACTCAAGTTTACTTACTGGTAACTTACAAAATGAATTAGAGATTGCTAAAGTAGATATTCATAAACATGTTACTACCAAAGTTTACTGAGGACACTAGTTGAATAATCTAGTAAGAATTCTGGCCACCATGTAATGCTTGGAATTGGTTCCAAGTTTCCACAATTTTCACAATTTGGGGAAAGGATACTTTATTTGTGCACCATCTTAGGTTGGTTGGAATGGAGTTTCCAAATGGTTCCTTTTTTTATTTTTATTTTTTTTAATTGATTTTAGAGAGAGAGGAAGGGAAAGAGAGAGAGAGAGATAGAAACATCGATAAGAAAGAATGTCAATTGGCCACCTCCTACACGCCCCCCACTGGGGATCGGGCCCACAACCTGGGCATGTGCCCTGACTGGGAATCGAAGGAGTGACCTCTTGGTGCACGGGTCAATGCTCAACCACTGAGCCACACCGGCAGGGCAAATTGTTCTTTTTTTAAAATGATCTATTGTTAGTTTAAGGTGTCATGATCAATTTATTTTATTGAAGATTATTTGACTTAATTTATGTGGTAATATGTAGTTACTTTTTGCTTATTTTTGAGGAGGTAGGCTTTAGGATTTATATTTGCTGTGGTTCAAATATGAATTGTTTATCACCTAATACTGAAAGAGTTGGCTACCTCCTCCCTTTGTTCTATTAATACCCCCTAACACCTCTTTCCCTGAGAGAGAAGAATTGCTTTTTACATTATGCTTCTCCACTGGAGAGTGAGAAAGTATGATATTTGTGGAATTCATTCTAGTTTTTCTTAAATTTTTACATTCTATCTTGTATTTGGATACTACTTGCAGCTCTCCAAGCAGTTACCATAAACACTGTTCAAAAATGCTTTTCTCCTCACATAATGATTGAATTCTGTATGTAGCCCTCCCCCAGCTGCTCCTTGCTTTGGGATGGGCAGCCTGTTGCATAAAAGTGAAGACTAGGTACTAATGCATATCCAGCTACCTGTCTGTCTTCACTATTAGAGGTAGGAAGAAAGGGCCTACAGATTATGTGACTGGAGGGTGACGTGTAGTGTTGTAGCCCAGGGATTATAGGGATGGATTGCTAGGTTTTTTGTTGTTGTTTTTTTAATCTTTACCCAAGGATATTTTTCTGTTTATCTTCAGATAGAGTGGGAGGTAGAGAGAGAGAGAAACATCGATGTGATAGAGTCACATCGACTGGTTGCCCCTGGCATGACCCCGATCAAGGCCGGGGACAAACCGCAACTGAGGTCGTGCCCTTGATCGTAATCGAACTCGCGACCCACTGGTCTGTGGGCTGGAGCTCTAACCGCTGAGCCAAACCAGCCAGGGTAGGAGTGTCTAGGTTTTAATCTCGTCAGCAATATGAATTTCAGCCACCTTTGAATCTCATGTTATTTCTCTATGAAATGAAAATAGATACTTATAAATTTGTCTTGAGAATCAAGTGGGGTAATATGTTTAAAAACAGGAAAAATTCTTTTAAGCTGGTAGGAAATTGAAACATAAATGTTAGCATCACGGGCCTGGCTGGGTTGGGGTTTGAGTCCCAGTTGGGGCACATACCTAGGTTGCAGGTTCAATCCCCAGGCAGAGTCCATACAGGAAGCGGCCGGTGTTTTTCTCTCCCTCTCTCTCTTCGTCTCTCTCCTGTGCTTCCTCTCTCTTGATTTGATTTACATCTTAATTTTTAATGAGACTAGAACCTTCTTTTTTCCTATGAATTGCCTCTTCCTGTTTTTTATCCATTGTTCTACAGTCTTACAAATTTGTGAGAATTCTTAGTATATATTATGGGTGACCTTTTTTCCTACTTCATAATAAAAGAACACAATGTAGGTTAGAAGAGCTCACAGTGACATCTGATCCTCACTCTACTACCACATACCTGCCATTCACTGCTGGCTTTGAAAATATGCTGGTTTCTAGGGCTGATTTGAACAATTCCTATAAAGAAAAGACAATCTGATTTGTTTCTGTGTCCTCTAATTCTTTATTTTCTGGGAAGCAGACCTAAATTTCCTGTGCCCTTATTTCCTGTTTGGGGCCTTTATCAATATAATCACATGGCTTCTGGTATTTCCTTTCAATTGAAGAAACTGAGCCTTGTGATCTGTATGTGGTATTGTGGATAAGGAGATTTAAAATACCCACACACATAGCATTCAGCACAACAATAACTGGTTATGAATGCAGGTACTCATTGTTTCTGTCACACACTTTGAAATCCTTTAATATCCATGTATCTGAGTATTTATATCCCTATATATAGTTAGAAAGTTCCAAAAAACTTAAACCTGAATTAAAATCCCAAATATGCAGTTTATTTTTAACATTGTGAATTAAGATACAAAGGGTTTCACACTTATAATAGCCAAGTACTTTATAAATATAGAAACTCCATAGATGCTTAATAATATAGAAGTCTGGCTATTCTGATAGTTGTTGTCCCCATGTAACCTGGTGCAATACTTTGGTCTAGCAGTATAGATTTGGGAATTCAAACATATCTTCCTTTTGGCTTCCATTTTTAGTTTGGTTCAATTTATTTGACTTTAAATGAATTGGCCAACCTTACTACCTTGGTTTCTTGAGCTGTGAAATTGGTCATACACAATTTTGTTCTCAATGTAAAGTTTCAAGGAGATAATACAAAACATGAATTAAACAGTGACTTATGGTATGTTAATTTCTTCTAAGGAAATTCAGGCATGAGATAAATAAACTCATCGATTTTTCAATATTCCTTTGAGGTATACTGCCATTGTTGTTGCTGCAGTACAAATGGAAGGGCACTTTGAAAGCCTTAATGATACATTCAGAGGGACTGAACTAAATTCGTAGGTCATTCTTCTCTGAAGAATTCTACTCTGTTATACTGAGAACAGTGGGTTCCTCTCCTATATCTTTATGCAGTGATGATGCTAGATGACCATGACATAAAGACTACTTTTAGTGCTTTGCGCAGTACTAGGTATATGCTGTTGGGAAAACTTGTGAGATTCACCTTTATGTGATTTGAATTGGGAAGGGCTATCTAAATTTATGAAAAGTCTGAATTATGTAAGGTTTTTTTGGATTTACTCCTACTTGCAACAATATGTAGTTGAGTAGTTTCAGGAACAGAAGAGAAATTATATGCTTCTTTAGGCTTTCTTGAAGTTATGATCTTAGGATCTCCTGCCATAGGAGACAAAACCTTCTACCCCAGTTCCCCTTCCCTAGGCAAAGAGCAGGTAGTCAGCAGTACTTCCCTAGCCCTAAGGCAGGCCGACTTAAACAAACCCCACTGGCTCCAGTACACTGAGCACCTGGGCTGAGTGACCCCTGGCCACTACCATTTGTTGTAGCAACTTCAATGTGTGGAGTAAACCCATCTCTTCTGGAAGAGAAACTTCACAGGGAAACTCATCTGGTTTCTACTGCTTTGACAGTCATTCTGGCTCTTCAAAACGTGTTTTTAAATGGATAAAAATTGTAATATTTCCAAGGAAACCAAATATATTGTAATAGTTATCATAATAGTAGAACAAACATTTTTATATAGTAATATATAAAATTCTAACCTATCATTTTGAACAAATATAAATGTAAAAGCTATTGTGAGAAACCGATAATTGTAATATAATGTGACTGTTTTAAACCTTATTGTAAAATAGAACATAATACTAGGAAGATAGAAGGTTTTAGTTATAATCTCCCTTCTTCTATGGACCACCACGGAACAAAGACCCAAAGAGACTTGAAGACAACTCTTTGATTCTGTTGGTGCATCTGGAAAATCACAATAGTACTTGATAGTTTGAATTCTCTCTAGCCATGGGCTCTAGAAATACCTAAAACAAATGATATATATTAAAACACTTGCTTGGAAATTAACCTATCAGTAGTATGTATTCTATAAAAAATTATTCAGGGGCTGGAGAGGGAATTATATTTCTTGTACATATGGATGAGTATTTACTGAAAAAATGAATGCTTTCAAATAATGAAGTTTTGCCATCAGACCATGTTTACTCCTATTCTGCTGTGAGTAAGGGAATATAAAAGTGCATATAGCCCTGGTTGTTTGGCTCAGCAGTTACAGCGTTGGACTGAGGACCAAAGAGTTGTGGGTTCAATTCTGGTCAGGGGCATGTGCCTCAATTGTGGTTTGGTTCCCACCCCTGGTCGGGGCCATGTGGGAAGCAACCAGTTGCAATGTGTGTCTCTCGCATTGATGTTTTTCTCTCTTTCTCTCTCCCACTCTGAAGATACATGGAAATATATCCTCAGGTGAAGATTTGTTTTAAAAAGTGCATATAAAGTGTTCCCCTTCTTTTTTCTTTGGTAACAGACTTAGCTAGGTTTTTGTTTTGAATTTAGAAGAAGAGGGATAGGGTTTTTAGTTGTTGTGTTTTTTTCTAATGTCTTTTTATTGATTTTTGTTTGTTTGTTTTTTAGAGAGAGAGAGGAAGGGAGAGAGAAACATCAATCAGCTGCCTCCTGCACGCCCCCTACTGGGGATTGAGTCTGCAACCTGGGCATGTGCCCTGACCAGGACTCGAACAACAGTGACCTCTCGGTCCATGGGACAACACTCAATCCACTGACCCACACCAGCCGGGCAAGGTTGTGTTTTTGTTGTTGTTTTTTTGTGTGTGGAATGAGAATGCTTGTGTTACATATTCATCCAGTGTTTTCTCTAAATCTATCTATCTCTGGAATTGAGATTGTGCTGAAAATATGCTGAGATAACAACATTTGAAACTTAGCTACTTTTGATTTCAGATAACTCTATAACATTAAGTCCTTTAAACTTTCTTCTATTCAAATAAAATGATTCTCTTCCACTAACCACTATCCAACCCCCAACCCAAAGAAATTGCCTGAAAAGGTTCAGCTGTTGAAATTTGAAAGAATTATTTTTTCCACCGGCACATGTGACTATTCATTACACAAAAGGACTTAGATCAAAATGTTTACATGTTCCAGCTTTTTTAGGGGTGGTGAAGGGTAGGGCACAGAAGCACGGGGAGAGAAAATATGCAAATGTGACCACCACAGAGTTCTGGCACAATTGTACCTGCCCAAGGTAGGGGAAAGAATGTTTTTGGATCTAAATCTTTGCAGTTAAAGGCAACAAATTCCATTTAATTGACTAGATCTATAATGATGATTTGCCTAATTATTTCTCTATTCCCCTCCCCCTCCCTTTTCTTAAAAGGTAAATTTGAAGAAAAAGAAGATAGTGTGCCTAAGCTAGAACAGCTCAACAGCCTGGGTTGTATGACTAATATGAATCTAGTATTGACAAAACAAAATTTGCTACATATGGAACTATTATTACTAGAAACCTTTCAGTGGAACCTCTGCCTTCCAACAGCTGCCCACTTCATCGAGTATTATCTCTCTGAAGCAGTACATGAAACAGATCTTCATGATGGCTGGCCAATGATTTGCTTGGAAAAAACTAAACTCTACATGGCCAAGTATGCAGATTACTTCCTGGAAGTATCTTTGCAAGGTGAGTGAGTGTGGATGCCAGTAAGTGGCTTTTGAGCTTGTGACTTGTGTATTCTGTTGCTTAAGTTCATTTTTGATGTCTCCACAGATTATGCCTTTCTAAATTATGCACCTTCTTTAGTAGCTGCTGCATGTGTGGCTTCATCAAGGATTATACTTCGTCTTTCTCCAACGTGGCCTACAAGACTTCATCGTCTTACTGCTTATTCCTGGGATTTCTTAGTGCAGTGCATTGAACGGCTATTGATGTAAGCCTCTTTGTTCTTGTGTCGGGGGTGGGTTGTTGTTGCTGTCAATCCTCATTCAAGGATGCTTTTCCATTAATATTCAGATAGAGTGGAAGGGAAGGAGGGAAAGAGAGAAACATCGATGTGACATCAGTGTATCTATTGGTTGCCCCCTGCATTACCCTGACGGGGCTGGGGATTGAACCTGCAACCCTTTGGTCCATGAGCTGACGCTCTAACTGCTGAACCAAACCAGCTAGGGCTGTTCTTGTGTTTTTAATTTCTCATTAATATTTTTCTTTAAGGGGCTCTAAAAGCAACTTTTTTTTCAAAAGCACAGAGCTTTTATAGTATTTGCTCTGAAAGCTTTAGCTGCCATGAACAAACTGTTATAAGAGCAATACTCGGTGGAAGGGGAGCCCCTTTTGGCTGTTATCCAAGTAGAGGTAGTTATTGCTAGTATGATTCAGAGTGCATGAGAAGAAAAAGAGCTGCTCTGATGTGAGCCCATGACTATGAGATCAGTCCATGCAAATCTTGCCTTGTTCTTCATTTCCACATCTTTGAGTTATTGGTCCCCAGGATGTCAACAAAGTAGCAGCTACATTTAAGTGCTTATTATAGATATATCTCCCATGCTGGACATAACCTTTAAAGCTACCAGCAGCCAGTTCCCTAGGTTTGTACCAAGAGAACTTTTTACAAGGATAAGTGAGATCTCACTGTTTTGAAATTATGGTCACAGCGACAGCAGTTTAGGTATAGTGGCACAGTCCATGGAGTCAGCTGTGGAGGAGTTGGGGGTGGTGCATATCTTGCTTACAAATTCTCAAGTAACATTAGCAGTTTCTTTTCAATCCATGTTACAGTGCTCATGATAATGATGTGAAAGAAGCAAACAAACAAAGGGGACAAGCAGTACCTCAGCCAGCACAACTAAGTGTGTTCCAGACAACCTCCCAGTCCTCACGGCCAGTTCACTTTCAGCAACCTCAGTATCTCCATCAGACTCATCAGACCTCACTGCAGTATCGCCATCCTGTATCAGAACAACCAAGTTGTCAGCAGATTGTATCTACCACACACACCTCCTCTTACACACTACAGACATGTCCTGCTGGCTTCCAGACTAGTGTTCAGGGCCTTGGGCACGTGCAGACTGGTGTTGGGATGTCACTGGCGATACCAGTAGAAGTTAAGCCCTGTCTGAATGTTTCTTATAACCGGAGTTACCAGATAAATGAACATTACCCTTGCATTACTCCATGTTTTGAAAGGTGATTTTATGTGATGGTAACACCTGCTCCAGACTGTTTTGTGACTTGAAGCTCTGGCACAAGTTTTTTGTAAACTTCTCTGAAGGGATTCAAATTGCATCAGAACTCTCTTCAAATAGCAGCACCAGGAAGACCGAATATCCCTTTGAGTGCACCATGAATACCTGGGAGGACTAAGCAAACACTGCAAACACTTTAACAGTATGTATGTTAAATTCTGTTCAGTACCTACATGACAAAAATTTCAAGCCCCGGCTGATGGTCCAAATATTTCAAACTACAACAGAATATTTGGGCAGACTCCTTTCATTTTGCTGTTTTGAGAGTTGACCTGTGGTGGGCTCTGGGCCTAATGTTGGTTTATATGTCAGAGATTAATATTTGTCTGTGGACTTGCCAAACAGTCTTTTTATGAAGGAAAGTTACAGTATTAATTTTTGAAGAGGTCCTTTTTTTATTCTGCAGTTTGAGTTATATTCTTGATCTACATGTGAATTTTTGACTAAGTATAAATCCATGAATTGCTATTCTGTACTGATCTGTACAGTAAAAAAATGTTTTAGATGATTCTATATTACTTCCTATCACAAGATAGTATAGGTACCTGGATTTATGTACTAAAATTAAGGGTGGAGTAGATCTCTTAAAATCATGGCCATACATTTTTGTTGTTATTTTTTCCCTAAGTGATCAACCTCAAATCTTTAGAATTAAAACACATTTAACTCAGGGAATTTGTACTACTTGCAAACACTTAACTGTAATGCAACATGTTTTGGGAATGTTATAGTATGAACTACCTTTATAATATAGGTTAAAATACTCCTGCTAGGGTGTATTTTCAAATGAGAATATAACTGTAGCTTAGAATGAATGAAATGATGGTCTCAATCATTCATAATACATATATAGATTTTGCATCTCTCAGTGCAATCGATTTATACTCAGATTTGATTTTATTCGAAAAACGTTTTTTCAAGGAAAGGCATAACTGTAAAATGTCCGTACTAGAACAAAGTCCTGTAGGTTTATTTTTAAGTGGAATGTGGCCAGGGTAGTTCTCAGGTTGTGCTAGAGCAGCACTTTGTTACATGGAAGACAGGTTTTATAGGCAGCCTTTGTATCCAGCTAGTCAGTATAAGCAGGCAAAGGTATTGATTACTAAATGTCATTTTCAGTAGATTGGCCCCAGAAACTGCCCTGGGACATTTCACTGTACTGGTAATGAGTGAAAATAGCAATAATAAGTCATTACAGCAAGGGCAATTTGGGGGTAAGGATTTGGAGAGAGTAAACTTAAAAAAGAAAAGAAATCATTGTAATAACTGAAACTGTATACATTGTGCTCTTATCTGTGGGAGAAGAGAGATTTGGTGGAGGGAAGCTTTCTGATTTAAAAATTAGTAAAGTGTGTCTTTTTGTTTGTGTTTTTTAAAAGATAGCACTTGAATAGAAGGGAAACTTCATGGCAGGTGTGTGACTGCCACAATATGCATTGAAGACAAACTTATAAAGATGTTGTGGGTATGCAGCAGGAGTCTCAGTAATCAAGCCAAATGACTTCTGTTAGGAAGGGAAGGGACTCAAAAACCGATCCAGATGGCTCCAGTGGATAAGTGTGGGTGGGTGGCTTCTGCCAGTGTGAATTCTTAGAGAATGTCCTTTCCATAAAACAAAGGTAACTTTTATAATTAGAGTACATAGGGCATGATGTGGATTTATTAGTCTGGTAGATAAAACTTTTAAAAAAAAACAAACCACTCAGGTAAGAACACTCACATGGCAGTTTTCAAACATGAAAATTATTTTCTGAAAGTATCATTTTTCCTTTTTATAGAAGGCTGCTAATTGGATTTGGGTAGTTCTTCAAGAGAACTTGAATTTTGGGGGGGAAAGTGGGTTCAATCGAATATATCTTTCCTATTCATGTTTAGAACCCAGCAACCTGGAGTCCAATTTTCAGTGTTTTAACTACCTCAATAATACTATGAATGTAAGATATTGGGATAGAGATCCCAACTTGAAACAACAACTGGTGCCTATGGTAATTTAATGTATTGTCAATGCTTTTATTGATTGGTTTGTCATTCTTGTTATAGAATATGCCTTTTTAAAAAGCTTATAATAACACTTTCCCAGTTTATATTTAAAAAAGCTAAAGAACACTGGATTAATTTGGGGGGGGGGGTAGAATAAAATAATTGGTTACTATTGCTGCATACCCAGGGTGGGGTGGGATGGGTTTTTGGAGAACCAGAACTATTTTTAAAACATTAGGTTTCAGTATAAATTCAACTCACAACTGCTAGCTTTGGGGGATGCGGGTGGGGGGAGTTATGTGGGTTTTGTTTTGTTTAATTTATTGATTAGTCTTTAAAGTAGATTTTTTTTTTTTGAGATTACCGGACCATCATTAAATGTGTACTGTGAAGAGATTAATGATATGTATAAAGGGCTTTACCAAAGTCCACTAAATAAACACTACTCAAATACAGACTGCAAACCAAAATGTATCTGTTATAACATTAATTGCAAATGGTGAGTATGGTGCTAAAGTCTACACCAATGGAATTAGATGAGTGCTATGCACTTAATTTTTAAAATAAAACTAGTTTTCAGTAAAATGGTTTTGGTGTTTTGTATTTTCAATATAAATTTGATGTATACTTGCAGCTTCATTGAACTTTGTCATCTTAAAAGTCAGACTTGGAATCACAATTATACTTGCCTAGAACCATTCAGATGTAGAATATAACTAGTGGTGGGAAGCATTTGTCATTCATTAGGTATCCCATACTGAGCATCAAAGCTCACAAAAGTATATTGGATGCAGCTTTGGGCCTTTTGAGCTTAAAATCAGTTGTTAGTATGTTAGCAGTCTAATTTATTAAACAATGAAAGCTTCGGAAAATTCAAAGTCTGATTTGAAGAAAACTAGGGATACAGAAAATAGTCACAGGTTCAACAGTAAGTGTTAATGGTCTGTTCACCTAAGTATAAATATCATTTGCTACCTAATTCAACTTAAAACTTAGATATAATTTGTTTTCAAGAGTAAAATTTTAACAGGTTTGTATGTGTGGGTTAGGAATTCACACTCCTAAAAGCATTTTTTTATTAGTCTTGTGTATTGTCAGTTGCTCTGGCACAGTGGCAGGGTTTAGCAACAGTTCTCAAGAGAATCAGTTAGTATACAATGAACTTTAAGGCTGAATTTAAGAAAAAGAGCAAAAACTCCAAATCAGGACACACAGCTTTACTTTGAGGTGATTCTGAACCCCATGTGACAAGTTTTTAATTATCTCCAACTGTCCTTCTCAAGCACATGATAAAAAACCTTTCTAGCAACAAGCAGCTTATATTTAGCTTGATATGACACTTGAAACAGTTGGAATGGTGTAGTCTGGAACCCAGCTTTAATATTATATTGGTTCTGGGATCATTCAATATCCATTATAAAATCCCTGCAAGTACAGTCATTTGAAAGAAAGCAAGACCAGACTCTGGCTTCCAATGGGAAAGATACCTGCCACTACCCTACCCCACTGCCACTGTTGTTTGTGTGTGTGTTTTGTTGTTGTTCAGATAGAGTGGGAGGGAGAGGGAGAGAGAGAGAAACATCGACGTGAAAGGGACACATTGAGCGGTTGCCACCTGCACGACCCAACCAGGGCTGGGGACAAACTGCAACTGAGGTACGTGCCCTTAGGGGGAACTGAACCTGGGTGTCTCTACCGCAGGCTGACGCTCTAACCGCTGAGCCAAACCAGCCAGGGCTATGTGTGTGTGTGTTTTTAAGGCTATTTTTAAGAGTAGTTTTAGGTTCACAGCAGAATTGAGAGGAAGATAGAGATTTCCTATGAACCTTCTGCCCCAACACATGTACTGCCTCCTCCATTTTCAGCATTCCCCAACAGGGTGGTACACTTGTTAGAACTGATAAATCTACATTGACTCGTCACAATCGCCCAAAGCCCATAATTTACATTGTGGTGCAGTTTTGGTGGTATACATTTTTTGGGTATTCATCATGGTTTCATACAAATATTTTTATTGCTAAAAATCCTCTATACTCTACCAATTCATCCCTCCCCATGCTGTCCTGACACGCCACCACCGCCCAACCCTTGGCAATCATTGATCTTTTGTGTCCATTATTTTTCCTTTTCCAGAATGTCATACAGTTGGGATCATATAGTATATAGTCTTTTCAGATTGACTTTTTTCACTTAGTAATATGCATTTAAGGTTCCTTCATGTCTTTTCATGGCTTGATAGCTCTTTCCGTAGTCTGGGTGGATCACAGTTTATTTATTCAGTCACCTACTGAAGGCCATCTTGGTTGTTTCTAAGTTTCAGCAATTATAAATAAAGCTGCTATAAACATCAGTGTACAGGTTTTACTGTGAACATAAGTTTCATCTCCTTTGGGTAAATACCAAGGAACAAGATTGCTGGATCATGGGGTAAGAGTATGTTTAGTTTCATGAGGAGCTGCCAAACTATCTATCTTACAAAGTGGCAGTATCTTCTTGCATTCCCACCAACATTGAGAGTTCCTGTTGCTCCACATCCTCACCAGCATTTGGGTGCTGTCAGTATTCCAGATTTTGACCATTCTTACAGGTGTGCAGTGGTATCTCATTTTAATTTGCATTTCCCCGGTGACAAATGCTGTGGAGCAACTTTTCATATGCTTACTTGGTGAATTGTGTGTTAAGGTCTTTAGCTCATTTTTTAAAAATCAGGTTTTCTTATTGGTCATTAAGAGTTCTTTTGTATATTTTGGATAACAATCTTTTATTAAATGTGTCTTTTGCAAATATTTTCTCCCAGTCTGTGGCTTGTCTTTCATTCTCTTCACAGTCTTTTGCAGAGCAGAAGTTTTTAATTTTAGTGAAGTCCAGCTTATCAGTCATTACCATAGAAGGGAATTACAGATACTAAAAGTCTGACTAAATAGAGAATTGAGGGTATTATACAATCAGGGCATTACAAAAGTAACTACTGGAATAAAAATTATCCTAATTATCAAAAGAAATACAACAAGCTAGCAGTGTATATAGTAGTTAAATATTCTTAAAAGGTATAAATATAGAAAGTATAGCAAAATAATATGACATAACTAAGACCAAACATATCAAATAAAAAATGTAAATGGGTTAAACTCAAGCTATTAGGAAAAAAAGGATTTCTGACTAACTCACAAAGCAAAACTCAAATTTTTGCTATATAAAAGACCAAAAAAATTAAAATCATTCAGAAGGGTTGAAGATAGAAGGCTAAGTAAAGACGTACAACTCAAACAAAAAAACATCTTAGTAACAGATAAGGCTGAATGCAGGCCCAAATGGATTAAACCAGACCAGAAGAAAGGAGGGGGAACACTATTACCACTATTTGCAGGTTTGATTGTAAACCCAGAAATTCCAAGATAATCTGCTAAAAAACTATTACAGACAATAGGTGAATTCAGTAAAGTGACTAGGTACCTGATTAAAATAGTTTTCATACACACACACACACACAACTATCAGTTAGATTTAATAAAAGATACTCAATTGTAATAGCCACCAAAAGAAGATAAAATGCCTACCTAAAAGTAAAAGAAGTGTGCAAGATCAGTAAGAAGACAACTTTAAAATAACTTGTGAGTTACACAAAAGAATACTTGAACAAAGCATATCATATTCTTGGACAGGAAGCATCAACATCATAAAGACATCAATTTTTTTTTTTATCCTCACCCGAGGACATTCTCCATTTTTTGTTCAGATAGAGTGGGAGGGATAGAGAGAGAGAGAAACATCGACGTGAAAGGGACACATCGAGTGGCTGCCACCCGCACAACCAATCAGGGCCAGGGAAAAACTGCAACCAGGTACATGCCCTTATCGGGAACCAAACCTGGGTCTCTCTGGACCACAGGTCAACATTCCAACCGCTGAGCCAAACCTGCCAGGGCAAGACATCAATTCTTAAATAATATATAAATTTACAATCTCAAGCTAATTTTTAAAAATGAACTAAACAAACAGGAATAACCAGGAAATACTGACCTCTGACATATTTTAAAATATTATAAAACTGTAATAAATAAAACACTATGGTATTACCTGGCTGATGTGGCTCAGTGGTTGAGCATTGACCCATGCACCGAGAGGTTGCCAGTTTGATTCCCGGTCAGGGCACATGCCCAGGTTGTGGGCCTGATTCCCAATGGGATGCATGCAGGAGGCAGCCAATCAGTGTTCTCTCTCATCGATGTTTCTATCTCCCTCTTCCACTCTCTCTAAAATCAATAAAGAAAAAATTGTTTACAAAAAAAACAACACTATGGTATTGGCAAATGAGTTGACAGATAATTCAATAAAACAGATTATAAAAATAAACCTAAATATGTGCATTTTAATATGTGATAAAGATGGTATCTCAAATCAGTGGAAGAAAATTGACATTCAAAAAATTGAGTTGGGAAGCCACCTGGGGAAAAAAATTGCTCCCCATCTCACAGATTTTAATTTTGATGAGTGAGAAATGGAATAATTTCATAACTTCATAAAAATTATTTCATAACAAAATAGGGGATAACTTTTCAAAGTATGTATAAACTCTAGAAGCAATAAAATTTAACTGTATAAATTAAATATTTTTTTCTGTGTGGCAAAAATCACCATAATCAAAGTTAAAAGACAAACAATAATATGGGTAAAGTATTTGCAACTAATCTCCAGGCAAGGGCTAATTTTTCTAACATAAAGAGGAAATGACAAAAATAGGCAGTTCCCAGAAAGAAAAAAAAAGTCTTGGAAGACAAAATGTTTAACCTCATTAAGTTTGATAAGATTGTTGGTGTAGGGAGGCTTCATCCTACATTACTTATGGTCATTTCAGATGAATCAAATTCTATGAAGGGCAGTTGGGCAATATGTATCAAAATAACAAATGCAAAAATATTTTGGTCCAGAAATTCTGCTGCTGGAAATGTATCCTACAGGTAGAGTTATTATATACAGATGAAATGAGCTAGGTACAAATTATTCATTTCACCATTGCTGATGAGAGCAAAAAGATTATATACAACTTACATGTTTATCAACAGAAGGCTTCATTTTACTATTACAATGGCACTTAAAAGAACGTATTTTTCTACACAGACTGATATGGACGACCTCTAAGATATATCAGAGAGTGTGGAGTGTGCTGCCATTACACCAGTGCTTACAGGATCCCATGAAGCATCTTTTTGGTTTAACGTTCATTGTTTTGTTTTGTTTTGTTTTTCTGATTCGTCAACATATAAAGCAAAATGACACAATTTATACTTTCCTTTTGGTATCTCTCCTGTATACATATATATTTACCTGTTTTGCATACTGAATATGTATTTTATATTCTTTTTTATTTCACATCAGTAACTTTATTATGAAATTAATAGTATATCCAAACACATTTTAGATTAATTGTATTAAATTACATGAATATAATTTAATCATTTTCCAGTGTTTTGAATTTATTTAAAAGTGTTCTAACAAACATGTATTTTACCACTTTCCCAACAATGGATATTATCACTAAACGTTTTCACCTTTGTAAATATAACAGGTAAAAATATCTCATTTTT